AGCGACTGTTGGTGAACTTCTTTCGAATGCTTTGTAAATGAAGATGGTTAATTTAACTGGTCTCAACGCACAAGATACAGTTGCGGAATTTATGCAAGCATAGACGTCGCCAATTACTTTCAATAAAATACTTTTACAACAAAACTCGCTGGACCGTAAAATGTTAGCCTTCGTTTATCCCCTCCACTAACTATGCCGCCATTTCACAGCTATTACTGATTTCATGCTTGCATGAGCCGAAACATTGCCATTGTTCATAGAGGCGGAGCTTAGAGTCATTAATATGCTCGCGCGAGGTTCAAAATGAATCAGTTCAACTCCCAAAGGCTCTTGGGACGGCGAGGAATCAAAGAGAGAAAATGTATGTTCCAGAAATGCTGGATTTGATACTATTTCTAGACATCGGATTTCCTTCATATGTTGCATGAGCCCTTTATACGTTTTAAGAAAACATATCCATGTGGAACCCAACGAGCTGACATCTTCATTTAGAAGAAATTCGGTCTCAAAGTTATCATACAGCTATTTCCCATACTCAAATTTACCCAGAGTAGGTCAAGTTGAACACAAAATTGATAAAGGTTAACGAGATGGTACCGAGTCAAAAATGGTTGTTATTTTATTATGAAAATATTTTCTTTAAAAGCCATATGCAACCCTTTCCATATTTTATAGTCGAGCCGTGACAGAATAAAACGCAGGGGAACCTTTGCCTGTTACGGCCATTTTTCTTTATTGTGTCATGCCATTTGTCGTCTCGGTCTTTCAAATTTAGCGCCATTGCACCCGTAAATATCCCAGATGTGTCACACAATTCTGCGCGATGAGAGTCACATATAGAAGGGAAAGGGGGCAATACAATGTTACATTTTCACGACTGTTCTACATTCCATTTCCTTAGTCTATGACTCCCTGGTCAGTTCTGCTGCAGATTTCTCTTTATGCTGCAAAATTGTTTTTGTGGCTTCCATAAGGAACATCTTAGTAAGCCTGCAAGTAAAAGACATGACAAAGTGGTTTTGATATTAATGCCACAACGTTAAAATCACGGTACAGTGGCCAAAGCCCGGGGGGTGACTTCGCTGTTGAAGGGGTGGGGATGCTCCTTGTCTCGTTTAGGGGTGTAAAATTGCGGATTTTGATTTATCATACAAACACCAATGAAACACCAGGTGAGCTTTCGCGCGAGTACATGATACATTCACAGGTGAAACGATGACCTTTCCAATGGCTACGTAATAAATCGCGCCTTTCATAGTAAAAGTAAAATGGTTTGGTATGCGTATTTTGTTGGTGTTTAAGTAATTAATTGGACATCACATCCCAGCCTAGTGATTTGGACTCTGCCACTGCCGGTCCCAAGCCCAAATGAGACAGGAGGAGGGTTGGGCGTGGGGCTAACAAACCCTCCCCATAAAAAGGTAGCCTGCTACAGAAACAGAAATTACTCAAGACGCCTCAGCTCTTGGGAGAGAAGGTCCTTAAGAAGACGGATCAATGGTCATTGACCAGTGACCATTTCAATTGAGAATGGTTCACAAGACCACGAAGATGTCACCAGACCACTCAACAGAAAATCAGACTGACCATGTTTGCATTGGAAAGAAATTCAGAAGTCGCTCCAGGACGTGAGAGTAAAAAGAGGTGCGGATGTTGCTTCAGACCAGACTTAGCTGTTGCACATCTCAAGCTAAAACTAAAGAAAAACTGGACTGGAGCAGCGCCTCGACGTAATAGCTTTGAAATCGGGCAGCTGAAAGAATGATGCAAAGAAGCTAAAGGAGTTCAGGGTCACAGTTAAAAACAAGTACCAACTTCTCTAGGAACGGATGAAAGATGACGAGGCTGTTGATTGTATTTGGATGGGAGTGAAGGAGTCTTTAGTTTCAACTTGTAGGTAGGTACTTGCCCCCAAGAAACACCACAAGGATAGGATAGCACATACATACTAACAACTTGTGACAATGTGGAAGGTGAATTGATCAACATGACACGAGCGTGGGACAAAGAAAAAATCCGAGGCCCTGACAAGAATCGAACCCATGAACTCCCGAACAACGGGCGGGAAGCGAGCTATGAGAACTGATGGAGAGCAAGGCCAGTTCATATGTGACAGGCGTCTTGCATACTGCTAGAATCTGCACTGTTGTAGCCATTGCGAGTGGTGATAAGTGAATTCACCATCTTTATTCACTTATCACAACTAGTCACTATTTTTTCAAGTGCTTTCAGGAAAGCTTGATCATAACTTATATCACATCACAATTAAACAAACTTGTTACATTAATTAAGCAACACATACCATCTATAAAGGTTTGGGAAGTACTGGTTTAAATAGACCATCAGTAGACCCGGTTCACTTGAAATCCAAACTTCATCCAAGTTGTTTGCCATGCTCACTACCATTAACTCTGCACAGCGCTCAGTCGACATTAATTGTAAGCCAGATATATCAGGTGGATCCTTAAACTTCTGCAAGGGCAAAAGTCACTGGAAATTTATTTCAAATGGCGATTACACTTACAGTTACATTACTGAATGCCAGTTGCTGATAGCTCTTCATTGTAAACACACAAAGTCGGTTTCTGTCCCGTAGACACGACTCAGCACTGTAGTACTCATGTCTAGATGCCTTGGGCATTAGAGTTACATGACACGTTGTTCTCATTTCAATTGGCCAATCAAAGTCTAAGATAACAAGTAGGAATAGAAACTAGGAAAAGTGTACCTTGGATTTGCTGTGTCCTGTCTACTCACATCATTATGCCAGCGTGGTTGCCCGAAGGTGTAGTGGATATCACGCCCAACTAGTAGTATGCAGGGAGACGCAGGTTCGAATCCTGCTCGGGATACGAAGTTTTTCTTTCATTCCAGAGACATGTGTCAAAAGCCGCTTAACCCTTGCAAGTTATTTACACCTTTTTATTTAAGTCTGAGATGTCTAATATAGTTGACATCCCAGACAAGCCATTGTTTGTCTAAAAATTGTCAGTATGACAAAATGGCACTACCCATAAGAGTCAATGTATGTTAGGGTATAAACCCTCTCAACTATCGAGAGCTAACCACTGTCCAGTTGGTGATATTTAGACTAACCTAACCAAGAAGTGCCATTTCGTTATTTTGTCATTTTGTGTTTTCTACACGCCCCTGGACATACAAGGTACTAGGCAACGCTTCGTGGTGGTATACCATGATATTCCACGAGTCACTTTTATTTTGTTGGCACACACAAAAGCCTATAGATGTGTGTATACCAAGAAAATACAATTGACAAGTGGGATATTCCATTTTATATAATACGTCAAATTATTTGTTGCATTTTGATTAGTTCTCACCTATGATCTATTAGAGGGAAGACGAATTGATGACATCAATATAACAAACATTTTCCCTGTTTTTTTTTTTTTTAAATGACGGAAAGCTTTCAGAATTTGGATAATATTTTACAAGATTGGGTGAAAGATAACTAAGGTACAAAATGCCTTGCCAAGGCCGCGAGAAGATAAAAAAAGCCGTTTCTTTTTAGAAAATGACCCAGAAAAAATACTCAAGCTGTCCCATTCAGCATTCGAGTGAGACTAAGCCAAACACAAAATTGGTCTTGTAAGAAACCAGGATTGCTTTGTCTCGAATTTAACAAACCCAATAAAATGAAAATGTTTAGGAGAATATATTTTTTAAAAAATTCAACTTTTTTCAGTCTCAAAATAATTGTTGACACAGACTGATGTCAGGAATGAAACATCAAAACATCACTTCTTAAAATCAGTTAAAGTAAAGTTAACACAATTAACCTTGCTTTCCGACACAAAATGTTCCAGTCCGTTTCAGGGCACAGCAGTCAGGCAAAGTATAGGCTCACCAAAGCTCACGGCCAACTGTATCGCAGCTAGAAAGTGTCTCCGACACTATATCAAACTGATTTGAGAATCACCAAACACAGAAGTCACAGAAGACACAAATTTCCACCTTCACTAACGCTCCTTTCATTCAAAACTCTAATTGAATAGCCTCCAATGTTGACTGCAACTGCAAGTTTTGAACCAAGCATATATTTTCCTCCTGCAATATTCAAGGCAACGTCCGGGTTTTCAGCTCACAGGGCTGCTCTGATGACAAAAACTGACTTGATTTTTCAGGCTTTTTCTATAAGACTTGTAGATTTCGCAGTGAAATTCTGCTTTCCCAGTAAGTTTTCATTCTATGAGAAGTGATGCTCTATTCAAGGTTGACAGTGCCAATTGATTTCCCTGAACCAATCACAATTCTTTGCTATGCATAATAATCAATCAGATTACTTCATATTGTGTAGACCATAGATTTTCTCAAATTGTTATTTCTGTGTTACTTTGTCAAAGTGGGCAACTGAGGCCCAGCTTTCGAGTTTATATAAGTTGAGAGATTGTGAATTAAAAAAGCTTTTCCTGTGGTACCTTGTTTCATTATTACATAAAACAAATAGATCATTTCCATGTTGCCATGAATCTGTTCAGTAATAGATCACAGACAACGTCAAAATGTGGTAAGAACATCAGTGACACACTCGGCTATCGCCTTGTGTGCCACATTTTTGTTATCACCAGATTTTGATGTCATCTGTGATCAGTATTACTGAGCAGATGCAAGGCAACATGGAATCTGTTTGTTAAGTATATCATGAGAAAGTGTTGCATGACCATTTAATACCATGTCTACTGGTGTAAATGTATATCAATAGCTCTATGTTACTTCATATTACATGTTTTACTAAATTACACTTTTATTTAGTATTTTATCTATTTGATGGATATTTAACTAGTTTTTTTCCTCTCATTTTATTATTATGTTTGTCATGCATTTTATACATGAGCCCCTGGCTCAGATACTGAGGGCAACCTAATCCCATGCACGACATCAATAAATTAATTGATTGATTGATTGATGTCAGTATCTGTCATAGAACATACAGTGGCCAACACAAACACTGCAGTGCGTGATGGGAGGATTGGGTGTAAAACAATGGCTTTCCTGTATCCTGATTGAGCGATCCTTAAAGGGTTACAAGTCTTTATAGATATATCGATCAAAAACACATTGTTTTCTTACTTCATCAATGTTCTCAGTGAAAAAATGAAGAGAAATGTTTGTCTTGACAGGTCCTGGCAGAACAGTCTGTACATGGATGTTGTGCTCAGCCAGCTCCAGCCGGGCAGTATCAAAGTAGCCCTAACAAAATGATAATGGCCATAAGTACCTGATGCATTTTCTGGCCATTAGACTTAGTGTTGTTTCCAAGACAGAGCCATTAGGGAGCACTGGCCAGGGGTTGGAGGGGAAACAGAATTAACTGTTTCCTGTGGGATCAAGCAAGCATATAATTCTGAAAGAACTAAAGAATGTTTCAAAATTTTCTATTTGACTTGAGACTTAACAAGCTTGATTTTCACCACTCTCTCAAGTCTAGTCTGTGGTGGGTGATTGAAGCCTCACTTGAGACACGACCTGATTATACCCCATTCAAGCTATTGTTTCCTCATGACGTTCAATTTCAATATTGTTGTTTCCTTGGACATTATTATGTGAGAAAAGAAGATAAAACAAGAAATAGACAGTCTTAATTTAACAAAAAAAAAATTAAGTAAAAAGGTATGTTGTTGCGCAATTTAGCCATGTGCTGAGATCTGCTAGTAATTTCTACAGGTAGCTTGCAGATGCACTTTGATTAGCAGCATTTGTGTCCTATTAGTACATACCTGCAATGCATGTTTACTGGCACAATAAGTTGCTGAAAAAGGTACGCCTATGAAGAATATTTAATTTTACACATAGTTATCAGTATTACTACAGAATTCAGTCACAAAATTATTTCATCATAAAAATCAGCTGCACGTTTGGTTGGTCGGTCGGTTGGTCAGTCGGTCGGTAGGTCGGTCATTCATTCAGTCAGTTAGTCAGTCAGTCAGTCATCCAGTCATTCATTCAGTCAGTCAGTCAGTCAGTCATTCATTCAGTCCGTCCATCAGTCAAATTGAGTCAGTCAGTCAGTCAAATTGAGTCAGTCAGTCAGTCAGTCAGTTAGTCAGTTAGTCAGTCAAATTGAGTCAGTCAGTCAGTCAGATTGCATTAGTCATTCAGTCAGTCAAATTGAGTCAGTCAGTCAGTCAGTCATTCAGTCAGTCAGTAAGTCATATTAAGTCAGTCAGTGAGTCGAATCGAGTCAGTCAGTCAGTCTGTCAGTCAGTCAGTCGGTCAGCCAGCCTGCCAGCCAGCCAGCCTTTCAGTCAGTCAGTCAGTCAGTCAGTCATATTGAGTCAGTCACTCAGTCAGTCACTCAGTTAGTCAGTCAGTCAGTCATCAGGCACTCCTTTCAAGACTTTTCAGTTTTATAAAACAAGTTTAACAATATATTATTTAAACCCATGCAGTTAATACATATTCTATAAAACCCAAAACTCATCAAATTTAGTCATTCCATCAAATGAATTAAAATTAATGACATTACATGTTTTTCCAGCGGTACTGCTCACCACCACAATCTGCCCCTCGTGACGTTCAATCATATGCGGGAGGACTGCTTTGGTCAAAGAGATGGGTCCAACAAGGTTTAAATCCAAAAGTGCTCTATCCACCTCTAATGATGTTTTTTCCACCAAAGCTATCTGTGACCTACCAGCATTGTTCACCAGAATGTCAACCTAATACATTGAGAAAACAACTGAACTGGTAGTCCTGCTTCAAATGCCTCATGTTAATCTGCTGTTGTTTTCTTGGGCTTTGTTTTTTTATTTCTATTAAGGTTCAGTGCATGACGATCGATTGTGCAAAATTGGGAATGCACTTGGGCATGAATAAAGAAATAATGACACCGGAATGTTCTAACTACAAAAGCTATACTAAACCAGTCTATTGCACCTGAGTATATGACTGTACCTCATAGAACAAGAAAATCACTTATTTAT